TAAACTTTTTTATTATAATATCAAGTCAGTTAAAAAAATTCTATTAGCTATTACTTATAAAGTTCAAATTTGCATAGCATTATTAAGTTTTAGAAATTGAATAGAACAATAGTAAAAAATATGTGAAGTTTGTGAAATAGATAAAACTGCAAGTCATTTTTTATAACTTTTTCAAATTTTATTAATAGTTTTATCAATATTCAAATTTTCATATTTTATTATAAAATAATGTAACTTCACCTTGATTTATATAGGAATTTGTTACTATATATTCATATATTTCTTTTTTAATATCAATACTAATGGCAGTATAAGTTTTCTTTTGTTCTAAACAGATATGTAATATTTTTAATATAAATAAAATTGCAAGTATTGTACAAACTATACAAATATTATGTAATTATACATATTTTTATAGATCATTAAATTTAATGCTATCATGTGATATATATAATTATATAAAAAGTAAAATTCTTATTGTGATTATATAAGGGATAAATTTTATATATTTATTATAATATTAGGTCTTATAAATAGTATAATTATATTTTATAATATGCCTGCAATTATAAAAAAGATATTTCTATTTAAAAAGATCAGAATTAAATAAAGTGTGACTAAAATGAGAGAATGATTATATAGAAGATGACTATAGAAGAAAATATCTGTATATGATAAATTTTCTAGTTTTAAATAAGTAGTTTGATTTTTGATAATCATTAAAGTATATAAATAATAAGTTAATAAAATTATGTATTTTAGCAATTAAGTTTTTTTATGTCTAAGACTAAGTCTATTATATAAAAATATATAAATGCTATAATAATATTATATAATTGATCTTTCATATTAGTTTATTAGATAAGGCTTTAACATTTTGATATTTTCTGTTTAAATAACTTTTATTTGCTTTTAGTCTTTTTTAATAATAAGAATAGAAAATGATTTGTTATTTTTAATTATTTTGTTAATATGCATAAAATAGTTAATTGTAGAAAAAGGAGTTTCAGTTTAAGTTAAAATAGGAGAAAAAAAGTTGTGTTATTTATATTTATTTTAATAAATGCAATATTATTTAAAATTTAAATATTTTTAATTTGTTATTTATTTATATAATCTTTTTAAAAGTTTACTTTTGATAATATTATGCAAGTTATTTGGATTTTATTCTAAATTTTTAAAAATAATTTGTTTTTTATTGATATTTTTGCTATTATTTATGATAATATCTTTTTTAATAATTATCTAGTTATTCATTGATATTATTTATTTAAGTTCTTTATTTTTATTAAAAGTTTGAGAAGTTAAAAGTTTATTTTATTTGCTCTTGTTATTGACATAATTATAATTGAATAATTATTGAAAAAAATTATTAAATTCTAATCATTAAATTTTGATTAATAAATTATATGATAATAATTTTTTAAATAATTATGATACTGTATTCTTCTGAAAATAAGCACCTTTTAAAATAAGTACTCATTTTATATAGGATTCATAAATTAGTATTTCTTTATAATCAAGCTTTTTACTATAAATATATAATTACATAATTATAATTTTATTAAATTTTTATAGCAATAAATGTTTATATTAATAAACTATTATTAAAGTATAATACAGTCAACTTTTGTTATAATGAACTCTATATCCTAGACCTCAACTTTGCTATAAAGCTATAGTGAAGATTTTAAGAGATTTGATTGGTCAATTCACTATAACAAGAGTATTTTTATTATATTTGTTTAAAAAATTCATTATATCAAGAGTTCACTATATCAAGAGTTGACTGTATATATAAATATAAACTATAACAAAAATTAAAAAAAATTTATATAATATTATTTTTGTCAATGATTTTATCATTATCATTGATTTTATCATCATCATTAATTTTGTTATCCTCGTTAATATTATTGTTATTATCAATATCATTAATATTATTAATATTATCATTATCATTAATATCATAATTAAAATCAATATAATAATTAATATTATAATTATTATTATCATTGATGCTGTTGTTAAAAACCTTTAAACTTAAGTCTAAATCATTAGAAATTTTACATTTTTTAAAGGACTCAAAAATAACTTCTATAATAATATCTTTTTAAATATATTTAATCTATAAATATACATTACTAAAGCTGATGTAGCGAAGATTTTTTACAGCAGTTTTGCTTACTTTACCATTCGCTATTTATACATATTATTTTTTACAAAGATTATCTTTGAATTACTTATTTATTAAGATGTTGGGTGATTGATATATGCTAGTCAATCTACTTAAAATTATAACAAGATAGATGTCACTTTCTTAAAACTTTTCTTTAATCAACTTTTCTAAGTAATCTCTGAAAAAATTGAACACAAGCATTAATGATTCCCTAAATTTTATTTTAATCTGTAAATTATTAAGATAATCAATGTAACTTATTATCAAATTTCTATCTAACTAGCTATTATTTTAAAACCAAATGATAACTTTAGAAGTAATTATTTTTACATAATATTTGTTTATCTTTAAAAATGCATATTGAGAAAAATTTTGAATTTATTTAAAGTAAAATAATGAAATAAATTGTCAACTTATAAGAAATGATTGGATGGAAAAGAAAATGGAAAGGAAAAAATAGTAAGAAAAATGAAAAGAAAAAAAGTTAAAATTGGAAAAAAAAGAAAATAAAAAATAAAAAGAAGAAAAAATTAAACAATACTTATAGTAATCATATGAATGACAATAAATCAATTTTTCTCATTTTTAGTTATACAGTGATATTATATGAAATCAATCTTACTATGTTACAAAGATTGACGAATGATCAACATTATTAATATCATTAGCATTTTTAACTTAGTTAATATTTTTATTTTATTTATTTTATTCATATATTTTATTATCATTATCTATTATATTTTTTTTTTTTTACGATGTGGCACTGCCAGTAACTTTATTAAATTTATATATTAAGAGATACAAAGTAAATCGAAAATAAATCTATGCTAAGTACTAGCATTATCTATTATATTATTATTATTTTTAAATTATAATTTATCTTTTATATTTATCTTATTATTATAAAATAGTTTAGCATTAAATAGTAATTTCTTATAATTATATTTTTGTATAAATAGAATAGAAACTTGTCCTTGCAAAAGAGCAGAAATAATAGTGTAAACTCAATAGTTCAAGTTTAAGACTTAGAATTTAAGGTTAAGGATTGCTAAGGATACAAATCTTTACAATAAAAGAATCTTTTTCTAAAACTACACATATTAAAAATTCTTTAACGTATCAATTATATTTATTGTATTTACAAATTGTTAAAGTTATTTATTTGTCTAAAGTATAAACTTAAGATTGATTGTGATAGGACTTATTCTACAGTAACTTAGTAGTTTCTTACATGTTACTCCCTGTTATTAAGTTATAATTACCCTAAGTTTGACAGGCTGAGCGTAAGGTTAACAACAGATATAAACTGTCTTTTTTTCTTTTTGATTAACTATATAAATACTAACTATGTTAAACTATACTGACATTTTATCTATGTTAAAAATGTTTTTAATTCAAAATATTTTTTGATTCTTAAGTTAATAACAAAATTATAAAAATTTTTTAACAAATCTCAAATTTTGTCAGAAAATTTTTAGGATATTCTAATTTGTTTATAAAGTGTAAACTTATACCTTTTTATAAAGCTAAGAATTTAATGCTAAGACATTTTAAATTCTTTCATTAAATCATCATAAAGAATCAACAGTACTGATTCTTTAAAATTTCAATTATTCTATTTCATAGTAATTGTAAACCTTATTTTTTATTCTATTATCTATATATATATAGCTTTTCTTCTACTTCTAAAAAAAGCTTTTTAGTCAGAATTAATATGCTTACTTATTTCATTTACTTTAGCTATTTAGCAAATACTAATATTTACCTAACATCTTACTATAGTTATTTAAGATTAAAGTGTCTATTAACTTTAATTTGATCATATTTCTTTGCATAATTAACTACTTCTTTTTTTGTTTAATAAAGTATGAATTTTGTATATGTTTAACAATTCATGATATAATTTTTAGAAATAAAATATGAAATTTGATCATTGCAAATTTTGAAAAAATTTTCAGTCTTTTTGGTTATATTACTTTTAAACTATTTAAAAATAAGCACCTTATAGTAAAAAAATAATGCTTATTTTTAGAAGAATATAATATTTTAAATTATAAAATCATGTAATATAATAATTTTAACTTTTGCTATTTAAATTCAAAATAATTTTGATTATTTTGACTATTTTAATTTCAGTTTTATGTATAATATTTATTATTATATAAAAATAAATATTTAATAGATTCAGATTATTATTCTTCTTTTAATAAAAGTATTTCTCAGTAATATTAAATTTCAATAATATATTAAACTTATTTGAAAATAACTAATTATTTTATTGAAGATAAATAAATAAGTATCATCATTTTTTTTAATTTAAATTAATTATATTAATATTATACATAATAGATAAACTATTAATTGAAATTATATAATATTAATAACAAATTACAAAATTCAGAATAAAAACAATGTATATAATAAGAAATGTAAATATATTATAAGATACAAGTAAATTACATAATACAAAACAAAATTAAATTATATAATAATAGATAAATAATTAACTGAGATTACAAAATATAATATAAGGTTATGTAATTTCTGGTAAAGTTATGGTAAAAATAATGTGAAATAAACTCTATAACTGAATCAATCTATTACCTTTTAGCTAATCTGCAAAAACCTCTCTAATTATAAGGTATATGATTACCTTGTAAGTTTATATGTAATATAAAATGATTAGTTAAGATTGACATCTATAAAAAAATATGTTATATTCTATAAAAATTAATTTGTTTACTTAACTATTTCTAATATGAATTAATAAATTAAAAATTATATAGTTTGATGAGAAATTACTGGTCTCTCCTTTCTTGATATGATTGAAAAAAAATTATGTGGTTATAGATTAAAGGTAGACTAGTAACACTCTAATAAAAAAGGTCAAGCTCTTAAAAATAATATAAAGTACCCTTTCTTCTTGTATAAGATCCAGAAAAATTTGAAAGAGGTGTTAGCAAAATATGAAATTGAAGTAATATTTCACAAAACTGAATTAGGATTTGCTGGAAAAATGTATGAACCTTTCTCTGATTTTCAGTCAAATTTTTTGCAGAATATTAGATTGAATAACAGATATACCATAGTTTATACTAAGTAAGTTCTTTCCGCTACTTGTTAACTTACCTTTATATATTACAAATATATAATATTATTGTTTTATGAAAAGAAACTCACAAAATCAATAATAAGAATGAAGTTTTATTATATTGACTTAAGGATATATAACTAATATAAGAACTATTATTAAAAGTAATAAAGCAATTTACTGTAAATAAATTTCAGTAATTCTTCATATGTGTATTCATATTGCCAAAGTTATTAGAAAAAATATATCATTAAACTTGCAGTTTAAAGTTATTAATGAGAAAAGTACAGATCACATAGATTACAAAAATGCTTAAGGAGCTAATTTGTATTATAGAAGACAAATAATATTAAATTACTATTAAGTTCACTCAGATTAATATGAAATATTTTGCTTTAGTAATATATGTTTAGTTTTAAGTTTTATTTGCTAACTGATTTTTATATTATACAATGCGAAAGTACTTTTCAAACTAATAAGAAAAAATGAAAGTGAGTGATGCTTTCAAGAAAATATAATTATCTCTTTGAAATTGTGACTATAACTACAGAATAGTATTTTTTTCTTTATATCTCAAACAGAATTTCTTATACAAGTAAAAATTCACTTAATATCTAATAAGTTTAGAGAAAGAAAAGAATTTGTATAAAATATGAATAGGTAATAAAGTTTATTGAAGAATAGGGTGGATGTTGAGAAGGAGCCAGTAATAAAAAAACAACAGGTTCAGAGTTATTTCAAAAAAAAGCAGTAATTGTGTATATAGTATAAGCATCATATATCATAGCATTGACCTGATATATTTTTATCTTGTATTAATAAGCTTATTACATAATATTGAATAATTTTTCATATATTAAATATCATCTATCATATCATTTGAGCTTGAAGTTGAGAGAAAGCTAGGCTTGAAGCATCGAGATAGAGCTATGCTGAGCTTGAGATCAGAATTTTAAAACTAGATTAGGATCAGGTAAAAAGTACTAATTGGTATAAGGATGTTAAAAAACTCAAAAACATCATTAATCTGATCAGCAGAAAAGATGCATTTGTCTAGATAATAAAAATTTTCTTTTGAAGTATGGGTATGATTAAAAATTGAAAATTGTTATCCCAAAAAGAATACAAAAAATTAAAGAGTTTGTTGATAAAGCATTCAAAGTTTTGATCTTCTATAATCAATCAACTTATATACATGTAATTTATATATTTAATTTTTTTGTATATTATAAGTTCAAAATAATGGTTATGATCTAATAATCATGTATATTAGTTTGTTTATCATGTAATACAATTACAAGCTGAATTATATAATTTATTTATTACATTAATAAAAAGTTTATTTGAAAAAGCTATATATTATATCAATGATGAATAAAAAAAGTAAGACCTAAATTTTCACTTGAAAAATAGATTATTTAGTTGTTAAAATCTTCAATTAAGAATGACGAAAAAGGAAATAGTTCAATAGCCCTTGTCAAATAAATCACATCTTTTATGAATTTGAATTTGATAAATAAATGTGCAATAATATTAATTCTCTTTTAAGAAATATTATTTTACATAGTCTGTGCGAGTAGAAGAGATATAGATAAAAGAAAATTTATAGATATTGGTGAGAAATCAGATAGAGAAAGAGTATGGTAGTAAGATTCTCGTAGTTAACAATATATGTAAAAATAAGTCAGTTGTAGAAATTTATAAGAAAACCTAAGAGAATAAAGAAATAACTTAATGCTGTAAGATGTGTATTAATTGCTATTTATTTTATTATATTGTATTCTTTCAGAAAAATAAAATTTTATCTGCATCAGAACATTAGATTTTTATAATATATAACATTGCAAAGTTATAAAAAAATATATTATTATGTTTTAAATTATAGTTAAAAATTATAAATTTGTTCTATTAATTATTGTAACCTTGATCTTTTTTCTCACTTTTATAGAAATATTTTTAATCTTATCATATAGATTATTTTTATCATCAAATAGTCTTTTTTTGTGAATGTTAGTTGCTATCACTTCTCCTATTTCTCTAATTATTCTTAATTTATATATTTCTGCAGTATTAGCATCTAATTATTCATTATCTATGCAATAAATGTAAGATTATATAGTAATAATTATATAATAAAAAGTCATCAACTCATACCTGCAGAAAATTCAGCACAGGTTGAAAATATATACCTGTAAAAGTCTTTAAAATTATCACAATTTATTATAAAATAATTATCTTTTAAATCTTTCGAATACTTTATTGTCTTAGGTCTATTAGTGCAGTTTAAAAAAACTTATCGCTTAATACTAATATATAAATTTTGCAATATTTTAAAACCTTTATCAGCTTTTTCATACTTATTTTCTACCATATTCTTAGATAAAGTTTAGGCTTGTTCAGCTATAGAATTTGAAGATTTAACCTAAATAGCAATAAGATAATTATCTAAAAAAAAAAATATCTATAAGGCATCTTCACTATTCTTAAATACTATACCAAATGATAAGTGCACATGTTGCATTATGTTAGAATATTAATGTTCAAGTTTTATATAATATTTTTCTACAGTTGGAAGCTGAAATTTATGATATAATAAAGTTCCTTGAGCATTATAATATGCATCTCTGAAGAGTTCTTATAATGTTACCATTTTATATAACTCTTTAAGAAGTTGAAAATATAGGATCCAAAATTATATATTAAAGTCTTCAAAATCCTGCTATAAGACCTGAGATTCCTGATCAATCTCCATATCCCAAAATTTATCTACTTTGAATTTTGCAAGTAAGGTTAATATCAACACCTAAATATATGACATGCGGACATAAAATATATCAAGATTATCAGGTATCATTTTCAAATTAATAATACTTTTTGATAAGAGATTAATATAAGATTTGTTAACACTATTAATAAAAAAAATTGTCTCTCTTAAATACGAGAATGTTAAGGATAACACAATATTGAGAAATTGGACAATTTTGGACAATTTTTGACAGGTTATAGACAGGTTATGAATACATTTTTTTATGTTCAAAACCTTGTCCAAAATATTTAAAATTAAAAAATATATTCAAAACCCAACACTAGATAGCATGTATAACTACTGGTTTTATAATGATTATAACTTCTTCAAACAGATATTTTTTCATAAGATATTAGTTGATAAGTTATATAATAAACTTATAATTTACTTTATGTGTATTTTTACCAATTACAGTTAATAATACTCTAAAAAAATTTTTTAAAGCTCAGAATTGTTCACTAATATTACTAATATAGTGATAGAAAGTTTTATTATAATTGATATAATCTGTCAGTCTTGTTTGAACTTGTATCATATATAAGAAAATATTCTTTATCTCTCTATCTAAAAGAAAACAGAGTAGTAGATATAAAAGATTATATGTTGATTCTTTAATCATTTTCTTAAGAGGAGCTTGAATAGTTTCAGCTAAGATTGGTACATAGAATCTTTTTCCTTGACTGCAACTTAATGACCAAATAGAACGTACTATTTCTTGAATCAGATTTAAATTACCTTTGCTAATACTATACTATGAAGACAATTTAGCTCATTGATGTCAAGAATGATAATATTAATATTACTATTAATATCTCTAATAATAATATCAAGTGTGTTCATAATTTTGAATTTATGCTAATTATCATTACACATCAAAGAAAAATGATAAAAACTTATTATCACACTAAAAATAAAGTATTCATAAAGTATTTACAGTGCAATTGATACAATTCCAGTAAAGATCTCATTCTCTAATATATTAATATCACTATTAAATATAATATTGATAAATAACACTTTTTTATTATCAAATTATTCTAAAAGTTCTTTATCCTCTACATTGTAATTTATGTAATTTTGAACATAGTCTTCTATTTAAATTAGAAGTTCTTGAAGAAATTGATTTTTTCCTGTATCTGATCTATTAGTAAGGATGGAAATATAATATTCTTATTTATCGTAGATTTTGTTCTTGCTAAATCTAAACCTCTGACGAATTCCATTTTACAATTGATTACCATTAAGTAATATTTTAAATGTTTTATTTTATCCTTATAAAGGAAATTCAGTACTAAAGAAATTTATAAGCTAGTATAAAGTTAGTACATAATCTGAAAATTAAAGAAAACAAGTATAAGATAAATATACTGTAAGCTTTTGAATCTCATTAGGTTGTTTTAATTCTTTTATCCAGTTGTAAATTAAATCAATGTTATTCCAATCAATCGTTTCTATGTGTTCAATAGTGATAAGTTAGAATATAAAAACTAAGATAACACAAGCTATTTAACTAGATACCATACCTTGTGTGATGCCTTTTTAGGAAGGATCTGCTTTAACGCGAAAAAAAAAAGATCAGACTAAACTTGATAGTTTTATTATTGCAAGTTTCTTGTTTAAAAGGTAAAACATTAGGAGATACTTATCAGTAGTGTGTGCTTGTATGATGATGTTACTTTTATTAGCTGCATTTTTATTCAAAAAATAATTTAAAATAAGTTTGATAGGCACTAACTCTTCACCTTTATTTTTAATTTATTTCTCAGTAATAATATTCTTAAGATTATCATTAATAGAAATCTTTCAAAGGTTCAAAGTATCAGGATCATTGATTTTTAACATTCCTTTTTTTCCAAATAAGAAACTTAGATCTTTAATTTTAAGATCATTAAAGTTGACTTCATTTTTATTAATATCATTTTTATCATAAATGGAAATTGTAAAAGAATCAGAAAGAGTAGTCATTCCTAGGAATATACAATTTAATGACACTTTCATTTTGGGGATAATTTTTTAAAGCAATAGAATGAATTTTTAGTAAAAGTATTTTTTAGAGAAAAAAGTTTTGAGGAAACTTGAAATTTGAGGATATGTATATCCTTTATACCTTTTTGAATACATTGTGAAATAAACTTTTTGTGACTTTTTTTATGGCTTTTTTGTGACATAATACAGTAAAAAATTAAAAAGCATAATTTATTTCATA